TTCTGGATCGGATTTAGCGCATCAAAATACTTATAAATATGATCGTGTAGTCATTTCAGTTAGTTTCTACAATTATATCTAATTCCTCTCAAAGCGAGATTTTCTGTATTTTCTGCATTTAAGAGCGGTTTTTCGCGATTTTAAAAAAAATTAAGGATGATGGAACATTTCTGATCCCGGATTCGGACTGAGCACGTCAAAATACATAAGAATCCATGTCTTTGAAACAGACGTAACATGTTCGTTGTTACGTTATGGAGCATTGCCACAAGTTGATACCCGCCTTTAGAGAGAGAGAAATATACAGAGTGATTCACAACTTATCCAAAAAAAAATTGGGAATAGATGCGTCATGAAAAATGGAGTCAATAACGTAAGAAAATCCTTATAGATTTCGAGAAAAAAATTATTGAAGTTGTAGCATTTTCAACTCTTACATCGCTGGGCTACTGTAATCTCTAGTGTCATTCGCGTTGTGCGCTGTGTGTAATGCGCTCTCTCTCCACGTGGCCCCAGACGATTCTGAATACTGAAATCCAATTTTAGTATTAACATTTTTGCGATAGCGTTTACATTAGGTTTTCAAGAGTCAAAATTGGCTTCCGTCTCGGCTTACGTGTACAACAACTCAAAGTTGATGGATATGGTTTTAATTTATGGTGAAGCAAGACAATATTTGTGTTAGTTCATAGGTAAAACGTATCCAAACGTGTTTACATGTCGGTGGACAAAATTTGGAGCACTTGTATAAGGTATGTCAAATTAATAATTTATTAATTAAAATAAACAAATTAATGTTGTTAATTAATAATATATTCATAGCGGCAAAAGCAGGATTTGCTGATATAAAGTAAGTGTTACTCACGTTAAACACGGCGTCCTACTTCGCAATAGGGAACGCGGCGGCCGGCGGCCTACAAAATGTTCGAACCTTGAAGCGAAACGGCTTATTTCCCCAGTCTTGAATTGTGCACTTGGTTTCAAAATCAAAGTGCACCGAATCCCAACTTTATTAACAAAGTGTCACGAACGGATAAGTTTTTTTTAGCCGTTTTGGCATTTTAAATAGGTAGACGTCATTTTTCTCTTTGAAAAGCAATAAGTCAATAGGTAAAAATTGTTCTATAAATTGAATTGTTCTATAAATTGAATAATTATTTGAATCTAACATTCGAAAAAAATAATATCCTTATACACTTGTTTTTATTAACAAATACATCAAACTTGTTAATATTTAAAATGTACGAAAAAAATACCTTATTCATTCATGTGTCTAGGTAAAAAGGTCTGTTTTTGTCGTTCACTACTAAAAAGCAGTAAAAGCCAGGTTAGTGACCGAATACGGTAGGTCAAGATTCACTTTGTAGGTCAGGACCGGTCCGAAAAGGGGTTTAAATAATGATATGAAAATATTTGTTTTCAGGGTAAATATGGATTTAAAAAATTCTATGAGGAATATGTTGGACTGCCTTAAGATACCTTAAAACGAGTATGCGATTTCAGGTTTATTTTATTACTTTTTGTAACATATTGTTTCGAAAAAACACAAAAAGTTGCAATGCCATATTTGGAACAAGACAATGAAGTCAATTTAGTTTCCTTTTTACTTTTTTTATCATATTTTTCTTAAAGCCCATTATTAAAAGGGAATGTTGAATTCAAATTGACAATTATTAAACTGAATATAACAGTTACTTCTATTCTTCTTATTTTTTTGATGTCATTAACTAAGAATAAGTAGTATTAAAATGTCCGACAAATGCGCATAATTAGATTAGCAGGCATGAGTTCACTTCATTGTAACAAGTGTAACCAACTAACTGTACTAGTTCATGTCAATCGTTCATAACCGCAACTTAATTGTTTTGATTTGATTACAATACACTACAGAGATATGGTGAAGGAATGCGTTTGTAAAGTAATCAATTTTGAGAGAAACTACGAAACTGAAAATAAAAATCCAAAAATTAAATTTTGAAAACGAATCTTACCTTAGTCCTGTTGAGAGGCACGGAAAAATCCCAATCCGGAGCCACAAACAGATATCCGCTCCGGGCTATAGAACGGCTAGCCTGAAACAAATGAAGCGTCAAAAATATTTACTATTTACTAAAATTTGGAGAGTAAGAAAATAGATAAAATTACATATCGTTTCCTTAACATGTAATAAAAGTCCATACCTAAAGAGTGATTGAAGTTTTAGTCCACAATTAGTCATGAAATCTTTTGAATTTTCTATTTTAAATAGCGATTTAAAAGCTAGTAAGTATATGCATTTTATTATATAAGATAATTAAAAAATAAATGGAAATTTGCTACACGAACTAATAATGCCTGATAGGGACCTACAACCCTAGATGGGAGTGAGAAATTGAAATAAGTTTTTCCTGGATGATTTTTAAACACTTAACGACTTGCAAAAAAAAACGAAAATTCAGAAATTTTTTTAGGTAAGTAGGTACCTATTAGACCAAAAAAGATCTTTTTATTGAGACAAATATGGATACTCAGTTTTTGATATTATACATAAAGTACCCCACGACTGTGCCCTGAAGAGGAAAATTTTTTTAATTTGTGAAATCGGAAAATGTAATTAATTCTTTGTTTTGCTTGTCACTAAACTCATAAAATGATCTTCATTTTATAAATAAGGCGTTCATTATTTTGGAAAATTTATATACGGTGTACCTCAATCTTATAAAATATTGAAAAGTGTTACTAATTGTAAGAATAGTAACTCAAAAAAAGTTGTAAATATAAAGGTATTTTTTATAAAACAGTTGACAATCTGTTTCGTAAAAAATACCTTATCATACAGGATGTTCTAAAAGTCCGTCAGGAAACTCCGAGAGGTGATTCTACGGATTAAAGTATTAGCAGTATGTAATGAATTTTGTTTCGAATTGTCAATTGTTTGCAATTTAGAGCTTGTCAAAGTTCAATTTTCTTATTTTTCTATTTAAATAACTTATTTTATTCACGTTCTATTAGTCTCTCATTTGGCTCACCCACTAAGTAGATGAAGCTCTATACTCTATAGTAGTCTATAGTACCAGTCAGAGCAAAGTTTCATTATGCACCGCTAGAGGGCACTTTACCTAGAACTCAAAATTTGTTTTGTTCATAACTTTTTTCTCTTGCTAGACATCACAGAAATTTAAACATTATTGAAAAGAGAAACAATATCAGAAAAAAATATATACTCTTTGTTCAAGCCGATAAATGTAACCGTTCATCAAGAAATCGCTATTAATGTGTTATTAAACATCAAATTTTTTATAGTTCTGTCTGAAATCAATCAAGTTGCCATGCTTCAAATAAATAGCATTAGTAATTTTGGTGTTATTATACGAATTGTAATAAAAATTGATTAAAGCAGGTATGTTTGATTTTTCACCATAATTTTTTTTCGGCTCTGTAATAACGTTGTAGAAAAATAAGCTGAGGATAATGGATTTACTAATAGTATTTTATTTACTAGCGAAGCTGGTTTTACAAGAGATAGTATTACAATATGGCAACTTAATTAATTGCAAAAAGAATTATCAAAAATTTGATGTTTAATAACACTTTAATAGCGATTAATAGCGATTTCCTGTTATTTTAATAGAAAAATAAAAAAATGAACTTTGACAAGCTATAACTTGCAAACAATTGACAATTCGAAAAAAAATTTTCATTATACTGTCACTATTTTAATCCGTAGAATCACCTCCCGGAGTTTCCTGACTGACTTTAAGAACGTCCTGTATATTACTTTAGGTAGCTTGGATGCACTTATGATAATGATAACTAATAAAAATTTTCAGAAATCTGAAATTTTGAAGAATTTTTCTATACCGTTATTGGATTATGGAATTAGAATTATTTTAAACTGTGGGGACACACGTTCCCTGGTACGCCTCTGCGTTCATAGAAAATATTTACAATAAGAAATTGTATTGAAGCAGATTTGCCTGTCTCAGGAGCACTTGTCGTGCCATAAATCTTAAAGAATAACGACCCTTCTGGGTAGCTGACCGTACCCTTAAGCAGGCAATCTGGGCCATTCCCTAGTTGACCGGCACAGCAAGTGTTTGTAACCCAGTACCTTTATCATTTTCAATTTTTGTGTGTCAATCAGTTAATTAATAAAGAATTAGTCTAACTGGCGTGATAATTATTTTGGTGGACAACTTATACACCACAAAACTATAAAATCCTATTTGGTATAGGTAACATAAGAAATTGTATTGTTTTCTTGATATTTTTACAGTGTGTTAGAATTATGAGAAACATCCAGAATTCTAAGGTAACTTTAAGATCTCAGAGTTCAGCGTAATTCAACAGTTAATCCATTATTCAATAATAGGAAAATGCAAGAATATTTATAACCTTCCAGAATTTAATCTAAGTTCAATAGATTTTAGTTAATCATTTATTTAGTTTCTGGGTTACTTACTGGAATCATGAATGTGTACAAACCATGTAACTGATATGAAATGAGGTAATTTTTTTTTTGCAAAACATCTGCAACTTCACTTTTACGACCTTCTTAGATTTACTAGCAATATTTCTTAGGGATATTCTTCAATAAAGTCAAGAAAGTAAATTTTTAATGGTTTGTTTCTCATTTCTCATTTCCAAATAGTAGTTTGCAAGTTTTTATGTAACACTTTTATTGGTAACCATCTTAAAATCCATCCAGTGAGAACTATTAAAGTCATTATAAACATAAACAAATCCAAAAATAAATTTAACAGACTAGGCAACAGCACATTTTTACCATATACTGAAATCTGGGTCAATATAACTTAGCAACGTGCGAGACATGTAGATCTAATAATAATTCTAAAAAGTCAGCGAAACGTAGGGAGATTTGTCGACGGATAACTTCTTTGAGATACCGGCATGGCAACATCTGCAGAAGTCATGCCTGGATATAGAATATATCAAAATATTTTCTGAATGTACGATATTATACATCGGATAAAGTTACAGCTAAACAAACTCGCCAGTAATGTTGGCTGGTACTGCAGGTGCTATATTTGGAAAATGTCATGATCTATTTGATAACGTGTCATGGCCGATGTTTTAAAAACGTTATCTTCAAGAACGTAATGCAGATAGTACCCTATACTTTTGTGGAAATAAGAAGTGTTTCTAATTATAACTATAATATTAGGGTTCAAGGTTACGTCGATGCCGAGTTCTAAAAGACTGCCACTGAAAGTGATATGTTGATAGTTCTGTCCTGTCATAACACTAATAAATTTAAGGGTATCGGCACACGCGGCTGAGTACACAGTGTGTCGAAACGGGAATAAGGGCATTAACTTTTCGGACCCCACCGTGATAACATGTAATATACTTTTTCTAATAAANAGTTGTACAATAAATTTCTAAAAATCTTTCAAAAAAATAAATTGTGAATAATTATAATTATAATTTTTTCGTTTACTCTTAAAATATTTATCCAAAAATTATTTTTTATTTATATAAAAAAAGTATAAGAATCTTTTCAATAAACAGTACACACTCTTCATGGTTTTTCAAATTTTAAACTATTTATTTCAATTTTTATTTACATTTAATCTAATCTAATTCTTTTACTAGTTGGTGATTTTTCACGTGCCTCATCAGTATTATCACAATCTATTTCGTCGTCGATTTCCTCCTGCAACTACAAAATATCATTTTCTAACGACTCTGAAATCTGATTGTCGAGTTCTCTTGCACTTTGTTCTGACATGTCTTCTTCAAAATCGATTTTGAACTCGTCTACTTTCACTGTTTTGTAAGCATTTTTACACATTTGCCCTTGACATATTTGAACTCGGGAATTCAGATCGGAGTAGCTGTGTGTTTGCTCCTCCCACCACTAATATTTCATTGATTTCATGCGGTCTTGAATATCTTTGAGTGACATTTTAAATGGGACGCCCGTGATTGCAAATTTTGAAAATTTATATCTGGAAAGTACTCGGAATGACAAACCTATTAGTTCAAAAAACAGCCCTTATACCCTTNAAACAGATCCGCCATGGTCTAAAATGATGATACATATTTATATACTCACACTCAGAAAATTAGTTGCATAAACCTCAATAACGAAAAAAATCGATTTTTCTATTTCTTGAAAAGGCAAGTTAGGTAAGTCAGAATAAAAAATTTTGAAAAAATTAAAGGGTCACGTTTTTTAATTTATTGGAAATCCTTCCGGACAATGAAGAAAATAAAATCCAATTGTTTCCAGAACGATTCGGCATTTTTGTCCTATGCTTCTGTTCATCAACTTTTAATTAAATTAAAATTAAAGTTGATGACCCAAACAAGATTTCGACCCCGATTCATACCGTTTTTTGAGACAAATTTCTAATTAATTTTTGTGCAGCCTGTAATCACTTAAAAAACAGTTTTTTCCAAAAGTACCCTTTTTCTTTGAAAAAAATTTTTATTTTATTTTTTTTTTTTTCATAAATTTAAACGTTATTTGCTGTAAATGTGAGAAAACCGCAAATAACGCAAATTTAGCCGTCAATTTTCTAAAAAAAACATAAATTACCCTTTTTCCCTGTTTTTTTAAATTCGTGTAAAAGATGAAAAAAAAATTTTTCAGAAAAGTTGCGGCAGCATGTTATAGGAAATTTACTTCAGTTTTCGAAACTCCCCTTCAATTCTCCGTACGACCATTTGTCGCTGAGATATCGATGATTGAAGACAAAAGGTCCGATATTTCGATGAAAAATGGTCGTATTGAAATTAAAAAAAAGGAAATTGAAACTGAATAAACAAGCTATCTGATCCATGCAATGGCTTAGCTGAAAAAAAGTCTGTGGACTGCGAAAAAAAAAGAAAATTTGCAAAATTTTTTTGTCGTGTTATTTCTTAGAATTGCATGATAACCGTCGCTCCTAAAAAATTTCGACCGAAAGATCTAAAAACTAGAATCTTAGAGCTTCAAAATGCTTTCTTTAATTCCCGATAAGACCATTTTTCACCTAAATACAGTTGTCAAAAATCACGTAAAAATTTCGGAAATTCTTTTGAACCTTTAATTTTTTGCATTAGTGTATATGTATCTTAATAATGA